TTACTAATAAATTTAGGTATGACAACTTTTGGTTGAAAGTGATAAATCATTGATAGATTTTTCTACAATTAAGATATTTTTATATATTTAAAATTTTATTAAAAAACTAAGAATCATTCTCACCAATGAAAATAATTAATTATATATCTATGCCAATAAAATTGGTGATGGAATGACCAAGTAGAAATGTTGCTGTCAATTTTTAAATTTCAAGAAGAGCTATTTAGTCACAAATTTATCGATAAAAAATCTTGTTGGTAAATTTTCTTCTTTCAAAAATTACTAAAGAATTTACCTATTTTAGAAAATGTGATAATTAAAGATGACTTAGCCAAATATTTTAGAAAATTTGGTATTACCAAAATATTTACTTACCACATAAGTTGTTGATAATTAATTACAATTTCAATATTAAGAAGTTTGTCGTTAACTCAGTGTAAATGACAAATTTACCTATTGTAGGAAATGTTAGTAAATAAATAATTTTTTAATAAAAATAATTAAATAAAAAAATTTTATCGACGTATATTGTAATTCGATTGTAAACTTTAATAGTGTCATTAAATTTGGTGCAAAATATATTTTTTCTTATAATGATAACATATTGAGATTTCTAAATATTAATTAGGTTAAGCTTGACTTAAATTCTAATTTCATAGAAGAGAAATAAAAAATATAATAAGAATTTAAATAAAATTAGTAGTATCTCCAATATTTAGTTCAAGTGGATTATTTTTTATGGTCTCTTCATTGACAATTCATATTAAAACATCTATAGTTGGAGATATAACATATAATTAAATCTAAAATGATTGAGCATCACAAGTATAAATTAATTATGACTAACTTCAATATTATCAAATAATAAAAAAGATATTGTTCTGATTAGAACAACATAGATTTTTTCTAATTCATTTGTTGTTAAGGTTTTGAGGATTGCGTAAAAAATTTGCAAGGTGTTACATATATATATATATATATATATATATAGATACACGATAGACTCTCTAAAGCAATAACTAAGTCTAGGATGTTTTTCCCTTTTTTTTTCGGAAAAAAAAAAAAAACCT